CGCGCCGAAATGTCAATAAAAGTATGGCCACGGCTTTGCCTTGACTCTCGAGTGCAGTGCGGCGGCCTCAAATTTCAAAATTTGATCAACGAATCCGACGAAACCCAGCCGGAGCGAGCATTTGAGTGACGTTGCGCTACTTGGCTGCCTGAATGTCTCTCAGTCTGTTTGTCTGTTTGTCCGACTGACTGACTGGCAGCAACAACCTTGTCTAGCCTTGCCTGAATGCCCCATGCAGAGAAAGAAATGTGTCTTGTATCTGTCCTTGGCTCAAATTCATATTTCCCAGCATAGTTTACCAAGCAAATTCCTTGCTAACTTCAAAAAAATCAATATCCCTAAATCACCATATACAATTTTCATGTCATAGATATATTTTTCTCTCTGTATTGGTTACCTGCTGTTGCCTGCATAGGCCATTGTTAGCTGGTTTTTAATATTTATTTTGATGTGCGATAGATTCGTTTAGACAGGTGAAAGGCTAAATTGTCAATTTGCAAGCCGGCCAAAACCCAAAACCCCAAAATTGAACGCAAGCCTGGCCAAAATGCAAACCGAACCTGCCGCCGGGCCAAGTGGGTCGCCTCGATGGCGCACATTCGCTGCTCGTTGACTTGTTTTTGATTGGGCCAGAAAACGGCAGAAAAAGCAAAATAAAAACAATAACAGCGGCATTTCCATTTCACTATGTTGTTATTTTCGGGGACTTAAACCGAGTCAACCCGGGCACCCTTTTGTTTAGACATATCTATCAGTCTGTTTGCACTGCCGACGTAGCTGGATGAGTGACTGACTTGCCGACTAACTGACTGACTGACTGACTGGCCAACTAACTAACTAACTGTAGGCTCCCGACTCTGGCTTCGACCTCGATTTGTTGATTTTTATTCAGGGTTCGGCCAGCCATTGAGCATTTATGAAAGACAACAGCAAAAATAAAACTCTGCACGAAATTTGCTCGACCCAGTTTTTAATTAAATCTAAAAGTGAAAGTGTGTTGGTAGTTAGAATCATCATAGACTGGCGAAGTTACTTTCTAGTTGAAATAGTAATTAAATAAGAGTAACTGATGTTGAATATCTTGGCAAATCAAAAACAGGAGCAAGATACAGAGTTCTACACTGTGAATGGAACATAATTAAGTCTGTAGAGTGTTTTAAAGGGAATTTTAAATAAATATATAAATGCTTACTCTACATTAGCCTTAAGAAGAATTTCGATAGAACTAGCGGCGTCTTAAAAGTCTATCGAATTACCGATTACTACTGTTTCCTTTTTATTATATTAAGATGTTTAGTTGTTAGGGATCCTAAATTTTTAAGGAGAGTCCTTGGAGAATCACCTAATTCCCTCCACCAAAGCGTGCAACCAAGTCGAAGCAATTGCAACATATCCCCCCAAGGACATTAACCCAAATGATAGCCATTCCTTACGCTAAACAAATCTGGAGCATATAATTTCCATGGGAAAAAATAAGGGAGAACAAGTAGAAGAAGCACTCGACCTTTGAATTTATATTGTGAACTTTTATGCGCTGCTTATGGTGCCATATACACACACGATTAACGGCCTTATAAACAAGTGCAACAAGGATCGCTCCGATTGCTCCTGCTGGCGGTGGGTGCCCTTTAGCTCGCCACGTTTGTTAGTTTTGCGATGCATCGTTTAATTTTAACGCTCAATTTAAAATGTTTTATGCAGCAGCAGTGGCAGTGGCTGAAGCCCACACAGACACATGTGGGAAAATGGCAAAGGGAGTGGAGGGTGCTGAGCACAACAAGGACACGCTGTCCTGGCGGTGGTCTGGTGGTTCCCCCGCACTTCGGCTTCAGTTGCGCCTGCATGCAATTATCTTTGCACTGCCCTTTTCTGCAGCCTGCAAGAGTCCTGCCTCGTCCTGCGCCCTTCTCCCCGCCTCGCAATAAATTAAGCTATCAAGTGTCCTTAATGCACAGTACAAGCCGTGGCCGTGGGAGCTCGACTTAATTTATAAGGACACCCGCAGCACCCGCCTGGCCCCAGCATGGGCATAATAATGCACAGTACACACAGTCCGTCGGCAATTATAAAGTTTTTATTTATGCAAGAATCTCGGCGAGGCGGCCATTAAGGAATCGGAATCGGAGTCGGAGTCGGAGTCCCAGACTCTCAGCATCAGCAGCAGCAGCAGGTGTTGCATATGAAAATTATACGCTTCATAAACCCTCTAGCCACAGATTGAAACTTAGCCACAACATCGAGAGGAGACTCGGGCGAGAAAGAGAGAGATCCCTCCTGAAACCCTAGACGATTGTCAACCTTTTTCAGGGTCTGTTGTCATGCGATACTTTCGTGCCACATCAACATCTTCATAATGATCCCTGGGCAGAGAGGCACACAAACCAGACTACCTGCCCCAAATTAGTTTGACAATCTTTCGGATGGGGATATCTGTGAAATCTGCTCTTGCTTAGAGATTTTTGTGGGAATCAAGCGAGTTGATGTCAAATTATTTTGAAGTGTTTGGACAGATTATATTCCTTTCTTCTCCTTTTTTTTTTTTTTTTTTTTTTTGCAAATAATTTGATATGTTCCTCTGGGGAATAAAATTTTATTGCAGGGCGTATACTTCCGCGGCAACAGCTGCTTTTGCAGGCACTCCTCCTTCTTCTCCCCTGGAATTTTAGAGATTTATTCAATAATTTCTCATAACTGAATTTGTAACATTAGAAATTCATATTATTGAGTACGAATTACACATCGATTTGTGCCTTTGTTTCGTCTAAACACCCAGAAATTATAACTTCTCTGATTACAAACACACATTTAGTCTACTCAGATTTCAAAGAGTTAACTGCCTTAGAGCCCAGAGATCAAGTTGGGAACATATAATAGATTATTATAATCATAATGATGTCGAAAGCCAACGTCATTATTCCCCGCTGGCTGTCTGGAAATGAAGACATTCTCTTCGAATCGAATCACTCTGATTCAGGTTAACCCTTTGGAGAATGTATCGATTTTCAGGTTTTCGTGTTCCAAATTGATGCTAAATGCGCTGGCGTTTCAATTTCCAGCAATTGAGATAAATCGGAAGTTTGCCAGCACGTCACCTTATCAGCATTATAATGCATATGAGGGGGACCCATCAGATCCGGAATCCAGTTATGGCGCGCACCTTGCGGCGCCTGCCATTATCACTTGGGTCGTAAATTTCTCCTACGGGCTCCTCTAGGCCCGCTGAAGTGCCGCAATTTTAGTTCGATTTTAACATGTCTTGGATCGCAGCGATGACAAACTTTAAGTGCTTTTATTTCTACGCTTTATGGCTGCAGGCGAAGGCAACTAAATATTCTATACATATACATAGAGGTAGAAATATGCCGCTCCATTTATGTTTTTCGAGGTTTATTTTTGTTGTGGTTTGTCCCCTCTTAGGGTTTGACTTGTTCCATTTATTGGCATTTGGCTTTGAGACGATTTTACGATCAAAAACAGACCTTTGTCCGCGGCCTCTCTGTGTGGCATTCGGGCAGCCGCATTATGAAGACGATGAAAAAATTAAGAAATATCGCACACAAAAGCCATTCAAGACAAGCATATTTTTTATAGAATTTTATGTTCTTATTGTTGCGATTTCCCATATAGTAGGCTTGCTTGTTCCCCAGACAAGTCTCTCAAGGTCTTTCACAGAACTTTGTGATTCGTATGGATACTGATTTACAAGTTTTGAGTAGGGTTTAGTATTAAAATCATACAAATATTATTTTAAAAATTATTTATATAACCAGAAAGAAACCTAGAACTACAAGAATTGCATCTTCTCCGTAGAATCCTTTCTATATAGTAAATACTATACTTTTCAATTGAAATTTAAGTCTTCTCCTTCTTTTGCTTTATTTTTTATTCCAAGGATTAAAATTTCCTCTTGACATCAAAATGCAATATCAATATTCCTACCGTGAGCTTGAACAAATAAACAAAAATATTTTCGTACCACTACTCTTTGAGATGTCAGGAATATGGCTGCCGTGTTTTAATATTGCAAATCCATGGCATCATTTTCTAACGTTCGCCAGGACAAAGGACTCCCACATCCGGCGCGATGAATTTTGATTAAAAATTGTCCCTTTGCTTTGGCTTCGGCGCTTTGTTGTTCGCGGAAATGCGCTACTTAAATTACATTTTCGGGTGACGCCGAATCCCCTCGAATCCGCCCGAAATCACAATGGCCAAAAGGGAAACCGCTGCGGGCGGGATTCAATATTTTTCATACTTTTCCGGCCAGGCCAACGCAACGGTGGTGTTGGCCATATTTGGTGCCGGTGCGACGGCCTGACATTTTTCACACTTTCACTGGAATTTTTGCCTTTCCAGGTTTTTTTTTCCTACTTATTATTATTTTTTTTTCCTGATTTTGTTTTTTCTTTTAATTTTCCGCCTGTGCCCGTTAAGCTTGTCATTAACCCAGTTTGAACTGCTGTGACCAAGCCAACTGAACTGGCTGGCTGCATTGTACAGTTGGTGGCTATATGGCCTGCAATTTTTATGGAGCGAGATTTAAATGAAATTAAACCCGTTGTAGCCTTCAGAGCCCGACTTGTGGGCGCGCCCAGCTGCATATTTAACTTTATGCGAAATGTCAGCGGGTGGAACGGGGAGCGTGGAGCGGGAAGCTTCAGTTGCTAATGGTCCAATATTGTTTTTCATTAAGGTTTCCAGCGATATATTTTTTATGAAGAAAATTGGCATAAAATTGATGGCGAAAAATCGAATTGAACTGGTTTAAAATGGCAATGAATTTAGCAATTTTTTTGTGAGTTCTCTGATTGAAAAAGCCACAGAATGGGACAATTAATAAGTAATAAATGCTAACCGGTGATATTTACACACTACAATCGAGTTTCGTTTTAATTGTAAATATTCAATAGTGATATTAAACTTTTTCTTAATTTGCTTGAGGCTCAACTTAACTTGTAATAAAATGCATTAATATTCCCCCAAACTTTGACAAATTGCAGGAGAAATTCATTTGGAAGTGTTTCAGGCAAACATATCGGCCTGATAAATTCTTGTATCGATTAATGGATGTTATTAAGACATAAATTACCATGAATGCCATTTGTACGACGGAGCGTAAAAGCGGGGACCCCGCAAAATCATCATCTTTGCTCAATATGTCACGAGCCTGCCCCTTTGCTGCACTGCGCCTGTTCCACGGCTTGGAGATGGCGATGGCGATGGCGATGCCAATGGAGATGGATATGGAAACTGGAGACTGGAGGGGATGCCGGTGAGCATCAAAGTGATTAATTAAAACATTTTTGCATATTACAAGCATTTCGACTTTGAACTTGATGGCGGGTCTGTCTGCCGCGGCGAACACACATTACCAACACCAGGGCAGAATGCACGCAACATGTTGCCAATGCGGTTGATATGTTGTTGCACTTCAGATGCACTCGAAGAAATTTAATATATATTGAACCATGTATTATAGCTGACAAGCTTAAAATCTTGGAAATTCTATGCATTATAATTCTTAGCAATATATGCAATTGTCCTTATAATTTTAATATTGTTATTAATTGGTAAATAACGAAATACACTCAGTAGGGGTTTTAGAATCAATTTTCATTGGCTTTATAAATAAAACAATAATAAATCAGTAAATCAGTAATACATTAATGATAGTATTTCAGTAAAAAAGTAGCAAATTGCTTGCCAGTTTATAGAAATTTGTACGAATTATCGTAGCGACTTTAGAAGATATTTATCGAAACACTTTGGGAAAACATATGTGAGACTTTTTTTATGGTTTTTGTTATTAATTCGAAATATATCATTTACATTGAATACTTGTATCTATTTTATTAAAAATACAAAACATCTATCATGCTTCCAATGCCCACTCCTTTTTTGCTTTATAACTATAATAAAAATATAGATTTATAATTATCCAAATTTTGTTATGCAATAGTATAATTTATCAAAGGATGTCAGTGTATGCTGTGTTCCAATAAATATCGAAATGTGATATCAGGAACATTTATAGTAATCACTATATATACAACTAACTAAATAAGATAGGAGGCACTGCTTTGCCCACGAACAACATAAGCCTTTTTTAAGCCTTTTAAGCCCTTTGTTTTGGCCCTGTGTAGCTGCCGTTGGGTGCTGGGACTACTTTCTGTTGACTCCGCTCTCTGTCACTCAGCCTGTGTGCACATGCTGCTTAAAAGTAAAATTGTGTCGATTTCAATAATGCAGGAGACCCATTACACCTATAGCCATGTGCGTGCCTGCACTGGCATTTTGCGCAAGCATTCCATCAAAGCGCTTACACCGCAGACGCCAAGCCAGAAGAAGGAAGAAGGGTCGGAAGACTACATCAAACGGGGCAAGGGAAACCCGGATCCGAGGGAGCAAGCATTGTCAAACATTTCATTAATTAAACATGCGAATGCAGCACATTTTAGTTTCGCACAACAGCTCTATACGAATACGAATACGAATGCGAATACGAATGCGGAGCTCATGTATGACGAATGCCCACAACTCTATAAAGTGTGCCTCACGGCCGGAGGAGGGACCACCCCTGGAATGAAAGAATTCCCATTCTTATGGACCTGCGGGGACCTGCGTGTCAAAAGACATAATTTCCTACATGACCAGCTGGCCAAAGGAGGAGGTGGAGGATCCAGTCGGGGGTCCTGTGTCCCGGCTTAATGATCGGAGACTCAAAAAGTTATGCTTCCTCCGCAGAATCTACATACACCAAAGTGCTACATGAACTTGTGTGTTGCCACACACACCTCACACAAAGGCGGGACGCACACTTTCCGGGGGGAAACCCAGTTGGGTTGGGTCCAGGGATGCTGGAGAATCTTACACTAGGAGGGACTTAGTTGAAAGTTTTTAAATATAATAAATAAAAAATCCCAATACAATCATTTTGATCGATCCCTCAAACAATTTAAGCCTATGAGCATAATGCCTTTCGATGGCATACTGCCATATTTTTGGGATTCTGGTGGTTCTTACGCAGCCCTGATCCATTTGCGGTTATATTGTATGATTCTTTCAGCTACCTTTAAATAAATTAAATAAAAATTATACAAGTGGCGCAGCATAATGAGCGCTGGAAGCGCTTTTTCAGTTACTCCTGCCTCAATGGCCAGACGACCGCAAACTCTGGTCGGTGGCCAGGGAATCGGGGATCAGGAATATCTATGTATATATATATATGGGATATATATGTATGACCTGGAGTAAGGGGGAGGTGAGGTGGTGTGGTATGTGAGGACTGATGGCAGTGGGGCAACGGTGCATGTGGCACGGCTGACTGAGTGCCATCGTCGTTGTGTTGCGTGTGTGTGCGACCGAGTGTGTGATACTGTGTGTTGTGTGTTGGCCCGGGTGAAATTAATGTGTTGTAAAAATTAATTAATTTTGCAAATTATATATTTTATGCATTATAAACCTTTTTTTCACAAGGTAAGCTTGTGCAACGTTTATGCGGTTGGCTCCTGGCCGCCGCAGGACACAGGACACAGGACACAGGACGCAGGGCGCTGGGCGCTTTAAATCAACAGAGAGAGACTTTGATAAAAATAACACCAACAGCTGTGCCAACAAGCCATTCGTGAATCCACACACACCATATGCAACATTTTACACACTTGGCCAAGCCGGTCCCCAAGATAATGAATGGTAAGCCCGAAAATCGTTTTCGCATAACTTTAAGTGCACTCCATCAAACTTTGTCATGTTGTTCGAGGCTTTTGTTGTCGTTTCTGCTGCCTTCCTGCTCGTTTTATTCCAATTTGGCTTAAGTGTCAGTCAATTTACGTGATTCATTTGGCTTTGACTTGGCCTTTGTGTGCTGTGTGTGCTGTGTGTGTGGCCAGTCAAAGTGTCAATCGGAGAGGCTGTAAGCAATATTTAATTACTGCTTAAATGGTCAAGTCAAATGCATTAATCGCGCTTCAATGTTCGCTGCAATAATTGACGCTAGCCAAAAGTTAAATGAGGATAATTTAATGGTCAACTTGTTGGATAGCTTTTTCGAGTAGTAATAATCGATTTAATTGCTCAAGCTTCAGCCATTGTTTCGGTTCAGTCAATGGTTAAAGCTAAAGTTAAAGCAGCTGAAGGACGACTTTAAGTTATCAGATAAAAACAAATAAATAAATCTATAAGTTCAATTACATGTTCACCTTATAGTTTAAATACTAATAAATAAAAATAATATATACCTCTTTTCGGTGTTTTTCAAATGCATATTTATATAATTATAATCTCCATCTGCTTCGATCTCTCGCTCTGCTGATCCCCTTCGCCATGCTTAAAGGCTTAGAATGGATGGTCGGAAAGCAAAATGTTTTGGCCAAAAGTCAAATCGGGGGAATGCCCCACGTCAAACGAACGGTGCCACTCACTTCTCAATGATTTAGTTCCACGCTCTTCAGCCCCAACGATTTGTTTTAATTGCCTGGCCGGGTCGGAGTCCGGAAAAAGGAATGCCAGAAACTGGCAACTTACTCACAGAGTTAAACCCAAAATTCGAATGAATTTGTTCCATTTGTTGTGCGGGAGGGGGCAAAGGTACAAAAAGCAAAAGCAAAAGCAGAAGCGCTTTTTGGCAAACACTTTCAGGCAGTCGACCCGGCTGCTGTTCTAAATAAATTATCATTTTCGACCGCGAATTCGTCGAATATCTCGGCACAAATCAACTGCTTAAGGCTTAAGCCCGCTCGAAATGAGTTCGTTTCAATTTCGGCCACATCAAAGTCAGAAATTCAGAGTTTCGGTAAAGCAGAAAGCGATCCGCTGCTGGATTTTGCGGTGGCGGAGTGATTAAAGGTGTGGCCATATATCAAAAGTGCAGCGCAGCATCCGTCACAAAGGCCGGAGCTCTGCATGTTCATATTTAATTTCGGCCTTCTTTTATTTGCTTTCATGGTTTGTCTTGTTTTTTTTTTTTTCGACACTAGCTCTTTTTATACCCTTTCCAGGGTATTATAATTGAAGTCAGAAGCTTGTAACCCAGTGAAGGAATCATTTCCGGCCATATAAATAATATATATTCTTGATCAGCATCAACAGAGGAATCGATCTAGCCATCTCAGAGGGAAACAATTTTTTACAAGTTTTTGCAAGATTTTATAAGGGGTTACACCGTTAAAATGTTCAGAATTTTCTAAAAATTTTCATTTTTAAATTGATTATGCATATTTATTAACCAGATAGAAACTAACATAGGAAAGCTTTCCGATCAATGCATTTTTGGCATGGTTATGAGTTTTCTTTAACTTTGATTGTCATATAAAATTATCAAGAAATATTGATTTTAAGACTGCAAATATTTAAAGATATTTCAATAATACAATTGCAAACAAGGGTATATAAACTTCGGCTTCCCGAAGTTGATTTCCTTTCTTATTAATTAGGAAATGTGAGAAGAAAGCAAAATGAATGGAATTCCTAATTAAGTGTGACTTTAATTTGCAAAGGAACTTTGTTTGAGGTTGAAGCCGACACCAATTTTTGGGGCCGGGGGAACTGCAAACTTATCTTGATACAAGCTTTAATTATTATAATAATATTTTAAAATAACAATGTACTAATCTGTTAACATGAAGTTTAGATTTGATTTTTATTGAGGGATTTGATGACTTTTTACCTGTCAGTAACAGAAAAATTTAAGTATTTAGAGTTCCTTTTATAAATGACTAATTTTAAAGCTTTTGTCTGTTGAGTTAAAAGTCAATTAAATTCTAAAATATTTTGTTTAAGAAAACTAAAATGAAGTGAGCATATTTTAGTTCTCGGGAGTCCTTCAATATCTCCATCCTTGTACCTAGATAATCATTCCTTTTTGATAACCATGTCTATAAATAATGTTGATCTTTTGATTAAAAACAAAAAAAAATGTATATTACATAGAACCTTTTCTTTTCATGCAGTTTTCCTTTATTACCAACATTTTCGCTAAATTTTCCATCGAAACCTCAAGTGTCATTGCCACTTGACACTGAAAATGCTAACAAATTCGCTTTTCGCTTTCAACCGAGGGGAGATTTATTAACCGACATTTTGTGTCAATGTCGCGCCAATGTCAAAGAGTCCCAGTTGTCGCCTTGTCCCCCCAGGACATGCAATATCTGCATGCGTGTATATAGTACCAGTATATATATATACACCTTTTCCATGGCGGATGTGCGAGCTCTCTGTGCTGGAGTTCGCCAGCAGCTCGCTGCCATAATTATAATTAAGAGCTGCAGCGCGATTACTTTGCAGCCAGCCCGTTCCTGCCACCGCCCCGCGGCACCTGAAGGCAGTGGGATCTCCGCGTTGCAGGAAAAGACTTCCTCCGCTGCCACTGCCAG